ACACACACACACACACACACACACACACACACACACACACACACACACAAAAAAAAACACTTAAAAAGGTGGCTGACGTCTCTATGCTCCTATCTGCCTCTCTTTCTTTCAAGCGTGTTAACTGTCCGTCTGTTTAGGCCTTAACAAAGCCTGTGTGTGTGTGTGTGTGTGTGTGTGTGTGTGCGTATAGGCTTTACACTACAACTTTACACCGCTGTTTATAAACAGTGTAGATAAGGTAACATGTTTGCACTGTTATTATTTATTTGTATTTAATTCCTAATAATTTATAGTTAATAGTTAATAATTTTTTGCTGACTTTTCAAATTGTTAATGATTTAATTTTGGCTGTCATTTTTTAGAAATATCACATAGATTTGATAAATGCATGTAGAATACAGTAATCAATATTGTGATCTGCTACAATACGGTGTGTGTGTGTGTGAGAGAGAGAGAGAGAGAGAGAGAGAGAGAGAGAGAGAGAGAGAGAGAGAGAGAGCGCGTGTGAGCGCTCTCCGGTTGACCGGGGGGAGGCAGTAAAAGGAGCGTTTGGCCGCTCAGGCTGCTGCAGCTGCCGCCTGACAGTTTGTTCTATTGCCCCGCTGTAATTGTCTCCTCGGCGGTGACAGCGAATCAAAGCAGGGCCCCTACTGCCCCCCCACCCACCCACCATGCAAGACTCCTTAGCACTCCACACTGAAAGAAACACCACTCACTCCTGACTTTACTTTACGTTACACACAGTCACGGGACGGAAAGCAGCTCACAATCACAGAGACTTCAAACTGGCTGCAGCAAATAAATATCACATATATATGAATTATATATATGTGATTATCTCTCCTGGCTTCGCAGGTCGAAGCCAGGAGAGATAACACACCACTGCTCTCAGCGATGATGGGAATCGGCTCACCTGCTGAGCGGTAAAGTCTCAACGTTAACTCGTGCCCGCAGGCCGCCGTCACTCCGCCCGTCGGACCGGACGCTCCACCCGCTGATTGATTGACGGGGGAGAACAGAGGGAAAGTTTCGCTTTGAATGAACCGAGTTCAGTCACCTCAGCAGCACACGAGGACTTGTTCTTCAGGTGGATATTTTTTGCAGTGCGGCCCCCTCCTCCTCTCACCCCCTCCTCCTCCTCCTCCTCGGTATAAAGCAGGAGGTGCAACCGCAGCTGGCACAGTCCAGAGTTCAGCAGCAAAGCGGATCTCTTCTCCATATCTTTTATTTTTCTCTCTCTCCATCCAGCCCGCCGACACGCACACTTGGCTGCCACTCTCACTTTTAACCCTTATATTTTTTTATTTCTTCCCAGAGCGTCTTGACTTTTTTATTTCTTCCGCTCCGTTTCACGGACCCGTGTGGATTTTACGCTTTTTACTAACCTCCACCTTGGACCTCCGGAGCTTTCTGACCCGGACGCTCCGTGCCTACACGCCATGTCGCGGCCGTTACTGTCGTGTCTCCTGCTGCTTGTATCAGCGCAGACGGTGAGTAGCACTGACAGCACACCCGCTGGAATTCAGCTCGTGTTTTCCAGCTTTTAGGAGCCGCTGTGGGGACGCGGGCAGGTTTGAAGACGTGCGTTATTACGCGCAGCGCGCCGAGTAACTTTTACAGTTTTACTTTATTTGTCCTCGACCTGATTTTACTTCCGTTTTAATATCACATATTCATGGATGTGTAGCTGGTGAATGATGCAGTACAGACAGTCTGAAGTCACAAATATAATAGATATATGCGGGAATAATACCTTTATTGTTGAACGTTTTTCAGCGTTTGCAGCATGTGAACGGACTGTCTGTGCTCACTTGTTTTGTACATTATCTTTAACATGTACCTGTTATTTTCTTTGTATAATGGTGATGATTTATTTTGCTCTCTGTATCCGACCCTTCTCTTCCCCCCTCTGCCCGTCATCAGGCCGTCTCCTCCGGGGTCTTCGAGCTGAAGATCAATTCCTTCACCAGCGCCCGCAGCGTCTGTCGCTTCCAGTCCCGGGACTGCCAGATCTTTTTCCGCGTGTGCCTCAAGCACTCGCAGGACGTTATCAACCCGGAGCCGCCGTGCACGTACGGCACCGCGCTCACGGAGATCTTCGGCGCAGACTCCAAATCCATCTCCGGGAGCGCGCCCATCAGGGTGCCGTTCCACTTCAAGTGGCCGGTAAGTGACAAAAATCCCACGGTTTGTCTTCAAAATTCAGAATCACTTTAACACTTTAAGTCGTCCAGTAGTTCACGTGTTTCACGACATTCCTTCTAAAAACACTTATATATTTAAATATTTAACTCTTTACACTCAGAGCCTTCGGTCGCCTCAATTAGCAACGTTTCCAGCTTCTTGTGTATTTCTTTCACTTTCAAAATGAAACATTTAGAGGAACGACATTAAACCACGAAAGCAACAAGTTGTATGTACTGCGGGATTAAACATTTGCAATCGTCGATTACATGACGGATCTCTCGATTAATCGATCCTCTCCAACTCATTCAGGGGACTTTCTCTCTGATCATCGAAGCGTGGAACGCGGAGTCTTCGGGTCTGGAGTCTACAGGTAACTGCTGCTGCTTCACCACAGGGCGGCGTTGTTTCCCCCTGAAAACACTCACAGAGCAGCCAATAGAGGAGAGTGTTGAGGTTTGATGAATAAACAACAACAACTGTAATGCAGGAGTCCATGTTTGAGGAGTAAATACTCTTATTATATTTGAACTTCTAACACAGTAGATGTTGAACATCTGTAAATATTGTAAACTTGCCATAACAGATTTTTAACACACTGCTGTAAAGTCAATGTAAAACTTACTTAAGATCACCGTTGGAGTAGGCTATTACATGGTAAACTCATTACAGACAAACATTTACTCCCCACAGGAAGATTATAGGATATGAGAGAAATGATGTATTATTTGAGCTGTCTTAACTTATTTTCAGGTTATTATTTATTTTAGAATAAGTCCTCAGTTATCCGACACGCACCATAAAGTTCTCTCCTCTCTTCCCTCGCTCATCCAGAAAACCAGAACAACCTCATCAGCCGGTTGGCGACCCGCCGCAGGCTGACCGTCGATGAGGAGTGGTCACAGGACGTGCACTTTGGCAACCAGAGCGAGCTCCGCTACTCGTACCACGTGGTGTGCAACGAGCACTACCACGGTGAGGCCTGCTCCTCCTACTGCCGGCCCCGCAATGACACCTTCGGCCACTACACCTGCAACGACAACGGGGACCGCCGCTGCTTGGAGGGCTGGAGGAGCGAGTACTGCTCTGACCGTAGGTGTTCATACTGACCTCTCACTGCTCAATGTAACCCAACGACAAGGTCTCAATCACAGCCACGCTAACTTTGACTTGTTTGGGAATTCAGCGTTTTTCAACAGCTCAAACCTCATGCACTTAAAACACATGAGATAAAAGGAATAAACTCCAACTAAATGGGATAAAACCTGCCTCAGAAACACCCGAATGGTCCTTAAAGGCATCACCCTGTTGTTGTAAAATTACATTATGGGTTAAATGTGTGTCTTCATCGCCTAATAGTGAACTCAAAGTGACTGTATGATACTGAAACGTTTTTTATGTGCTATAATATCTCTTGGATATTTGTAAACAGTCCTATAATATTCCTGTAGGGACGTATTGTCTGTGGAGCTCAGCAATGAGTTTAAGACTTTTATTTCTAATTGCAATGTTACTAAGTAGGAAGTTGTGAAGTTTGTACAGAAAGTTTTGAGAAGGGTTTCAGCAACCACATGAGTTCAGCGTTGCTTCAATAGAGCCAAAAGTGTCTGTAAAGTGTTTCTTTCTTTAACAGCATTGTGACCCCTCTTACTCTCCTCCCCCTCCTTTTTTTATCCTAACGTTTCCTCAGATCGGGAGGGAGGGTGGTGGTGGTGTGTGTGTGCGTGTGTGTGGGGGGGGGGACCCTTGGCGCTTAATTTTTTTTGTCCAATGGCCTTGAAATTGTTAAGTCAAGCAGTTGTCAACGCCATTGCTTCTCTTGGTGGCTGTGGACGAGAAAAAAAGATCTTAGAGATTCAGTTTTTTCCCTGTGTGTGTGTGTGTGTGTGTGTGTGTCTGTGTGTTGGCTCTGGGGTCTGCTCCTTTTGTTTGTAGCTCAACAGTCGGGCCCCGTTCGGCCCCCGGTCTGCACGTTTTAACAGGGACACGCGCTGGAGCTTAATGTGCGCTGCCGTGCGTGAAAAGAGACGGCATGTGTTGCTTTTGTTGTGTGGGCCAGCTGCTTCGTTCAGTACTTAACAAGCACTTGAAGGGGTGTGTGTGTGTGTGTGTGTGAGGCCCTGAGAGGGGAGGGGGGTTGTTTTGTGATTGGAACGAAGAACATGAGACACACATGCACTCATAGTAATATTCTCTCTTGTTTCCTCCCCCTTTCTCCCTTTCCCTCTCTTCCTGTGACTTCCCTCCCTGCGTTCCCTCTCCTCCTCCCATCAGCCATCTGTGCAGCGGGGTGCAGCGTCGAGCACGGCTTCTGCGAGTCTCCTGGGGAGTGTGTGTGCCGGCAGGGCTGGCAGGGCGAGCGCTGCGACGAGTGCGCCCGACACCCCGGCTGCCTCCACGGGACCTGCCAGCAGCCATGGCAGTGCAACTGCCAGGAGGGATGGGGAGGCCTGTACTGTGACCAAGGTGGGTTGCTGGTTCATCCACCGGCTCACCCCTAAAAACACACGCATGTCAGTTTTAGGACACAAAAGAAGCATTTTAGCATTCAAGTTACGCTGCTAAATCACACATGTAACCACTGACCTACAAATCAGTCAGTTCACCTCGTAACTAGCCAGCCTTCAAACTATCAATATGCATTAGACTCCAGATGTTCTCTGGTCTTTTGTCATAATTGGGCTTTGAGTTCCAGATAACATTAATTAATTAATATTCATTCAAATGTTAATGACTAAAAGGGCTTGTAAGACAAAAATAAAGGATCCTATTGTTTTCTTTGCATGTTTTTAACTCATATGTTTTACATCCTCTCCTTGGTCCATTTTCTGTTTATTTCTGGGAAATTATTTCTCATCATGTTTTTACAGATATTTGTTGTTGGTTATGTAATTGTTGCCTGCTAATGTTGATGAACTTGTGGTCTGAGAAGTAAAGGCTGTGTGTGGGAAAGCTTTGTTAGACATTCTTATAAAAAAAAGAACTCCAAAGTCACATTTTCACACAATCGTTTTTCTTCCCTTCGGTTTAATCTGTGAACTATCGCATTACTTGGTTTTATTCCCACATTGCAATTGTGTTGTTTTACTCATCTGTAGCAGTGCCCTGCAGCTTTATTATGATATTAGTTCATAAATGATTAAGTAACTGAAAGATAAACAGGGTAAAAGTAAGCCGTAGCAGTGTGTGCAGATGGAAAACACTGTGCAGTTTAAGATAGTTGACAGAATAAAAAAGTTGTTTTGTTAGTTTTAAACATAAAATACATCACACATTTATAGATTCTATAACCATATTGTGTCTGCAGGTTTTACTTTAATATAAAGCTGTTTATCGTTCGCATATGAGCAAAAAAGAAAAAGAAGCTTCTCAAAGCCAACCGATCTGATCTGTTTCACTTCATTTGATCATCACGCAAAAAAAACACCAGCACTGGTGTAATGGTGTAAAGCTAGAATCTTTTTAACCTCAACCGTTAAATTAAAATGCCAACAAATCTCTAGCCATACCCATATTGTAATTCTTAATAGATATGTCTTGATTGGCATCAGTTATGTTCTGCAGCATATGCCTCCTAAAAATAGCCAAGAGCCACCACAGATTCAAGTATTCTTTAAAATACAAATAAACTAAATGGAGATGGACCAGAAGACACAAAAAACTGCTAATTGTTTTAAAAGTTTATGTTCACGTCTTAGTTTGAGTCTGTGTGATAGAAGGTTACAAGGTTCATTTTTACATTCTGTCAAGAGTTCAGATGTTCTGATGATGTTTAAGGCAGTCGGGATATCCGACGCTGCACATCTGGGAACCTGGACCAGCAAACTGATCCTTTTTCAAATCTTGAAAAACCATCATGATATGTCCATGTAAGCTGGCCAAGAAGAACTTTAGATATTCAGATGTTTTTTTTCCCTGAGGTTTGGGACCACCTTGCAGAATGTGGTTGCAAAGTATAGCGGTGAAAAGCTTCAGTAGTGGTCACCTTGCTGCTACAAAGCAGCATGTATTTGGCAGTTCCACCCAAAAGAATCTTCTTATTTGGCTCTCTAACAGGCAAAGTCAAGTTTTGACATTTAGAATCCTCAAAACCAAATCAGAGATTTATGTTTTACACAACCTGCACCAAACTCCCTCTTTTCCCTGCAAATATCTCATCTTCATTTCTTGAGACAAAATACCGTCGACAGTATTGTATTGTAGTTTTCTCATCCCTTAGTAAACTATTGCGACAGAATGTTTGCCCTACTTACCAAACAAACTTTTTGCTAGAAGGTTTTTGCAAAGAATTGTATGTACCACCATTCAATGACATTAACATGATCTACTGTTTGACCACCTGCTTCTTTTCCTTTATTCTGAAATAATTTAAAAGGGGAGTGAAGTCTCCCTAAAGTATTTAGACTACATAGTAAGCCTTTATCTTCATACATGTCTTGATCACTTTCAAGAAAAGGAATTTAAATCTTAATTAATACCATGTAAAGACATTTGTGGCTCATGTTTACAGAAAAAGGTGTTTTTTTCCTCTTGTAGTTGACTCTGCTTCAGTTGGTTCTTTAACCAAAGCTTTCTGTTACTCTCATCCTGTGTCTAAACCCCAGACCTGAACTACTGCACCAACCACAAGCCGTGCCAGAACGATGCTTCGTGCACCAACACTGGCCAGGGCAGCTACACGTGCACCTGCAGGCCCGGGTTCACTGGCAAGAACTGCGAGATCGAGACCAACGAGTGCGACAGCAACCCCTGCAAGAACGGTGGCAGCTGCAAAGTAAGTCAACTCACCGGATCTGATGACGCGGTAGTTTTACACTCAACTTCACTGAACTCAACAAGGTTTTGTTCAATCAGCCTACAGAACTCCTAGATTATCTTCCTTCATGTTTTAATCATTTAGCGTTTAACAACTACAGAAACATTAGGAAACTAAATAAAAGCACGATACAAGAGAGCGGAGAAATTTTCACCTCCTCACACTGTTTTCTCCTCCCGTCTTTCCACCAGGATTTGGAGAACGATTATTCGTGCGAGTGCCCTCAGGGCTTCTATGGGAAGAACTGCGAGATCAGCGCCATGACATGCGCAGATGGGCCGTGTTTTAACGGAGGAACCTGCTACGAAAACGTTGCTGGCGGGTACAGCTGCCGCTGCCCGCCTGGGTATACGGGCTCCAACTGCGAGAAGAGGATCGATAGATGCAGCAGCAACCCCTGCGCTAACGGTATGAACCTTTCCTGCAGAGTTTATGAAAGTGAAAAGAAACAAACATGCACAACTGTTATGCAAAATACTAAATTCATAAACTCAGGCGTGCTCATGCTGGTTGCGATGACAACAAACACTGCAAAGTTAGCAGAGCCGCAGATTTTACAAGAACATAATACAAAAGTGGCATCATGAACCAGCTGCACCAAAACCCCAAATCCAGTCTGTCTTCCTTTAGTCTGGGAGGAAATCTGTGACATCATTTCCTGCATTTCATTTGTTTGTCAATGAGGCCAAAATTATTTGTGGGACTGATCCTGTGCTAACTCAACTAAGCTGATGCTGCACCTGGTTAAGAACATGGGGCACATATTGTATATGATTTCAAAAACATTTTTTTGGAACAGCCTTTTCAGTATTTGCCAGAACCTCTTGTACCCTCTAGCCCCCTTTAAAGGGGGCTAGAGGGGGGTGACAGAGTACACACATGTGTACAATTCACTTTTGCAAAATTAATAAAATGATATTTTATGACATATCATATACCAATGTAACAAAGAGATTCTGGGTGAAACAACCATGGGAGCCATTTTACACACTGCAAAACACAATTATACACAAACTAAGATCATATCTAGAAGATTTACCACAATATCACGTATTTTTCGCCAAAAATCTGCATAGTATGCTCTCCGTTTGCATCTCCCATCACAAAGCCGGCAGCGATCATGGGGTCGTGATTCGACCCCGTGTCGATTGGCGCTCTTCAAATTCCTCTGCTTCAAACCGTTCAAAAGTTACATAAACAACGCCAACCAACAACCCACCGCTCCCCAGAAAAAAATTGAACCACCACGTACCTTTTGCTGATTTTCGTGACGAAAAACACAGCTAATCCATTGAAATATGCGCCAGCTCTATAGTCCGTTTCCTGCACTGTCTCTGTGAAGTGAAATGACGGCCCTAGGAGCTTGTATGAGGGAATGGCCAGCATTCAGTCAGCTGGACCAATGAATTTAGACATGGGGGCTGTGCCAAGCATATCGAGATTTTTAGTGGCTAAAAGGCTGTCAATCTTCTAAATAACACACCTACTGCTTTCGTTAGGCTCTTCCACATTCAACAAGGTGTCACATGATGAAATCCGCCAATCACAGGCCTTACAAAGGCTTAAAGAGACACGGACTGAGAGGAGAATATTTTATGGATGAGAGCTGAAAATGGCTCAAAATGACTCAAAATGATGCCAAACTGCTTTATTACGATGTATTGAACACTCTTAGTGATAAAGCAAGTGAATATATAGTTAATATATAGTTATATAGTATATAAAATTAAATTAGAAAAGAGCAGCGCAACAGCTGGTTCCAAAAATGAAAATTTGTCTTGACTGTCCGTACTCCGACCTCATTTATGCTGGCCTGCTTCACTCAATCGAAGTAAAATTTGTTTGTGGAGACTGTAAACATGTTGTGCTATGACTGTGGCGTATTCTTAGGCATTTTTAGGCATTATTTCAAATAAATATTTTCAATACAAGTGCTTTTTTTTCAGGTGAACCTGAAACTTTTTCAATTTGAGCTGTGTGCCATCTTCATTCACTATTAACCAATAACATATACACAACATTTTCACATCTCAACACATCTCACAAGTGTTACCTGTATTCTAGCATCAAAAGTATTAACATAGACCTTGTAGTTAGAGCTGTGGACTCTCTTGAGTATGGGTATGCAATTTTCGAGCAGAGGCCTAAAAATAGGGCTAGGGTTTAAGAGGTTGCATTTTTACAGAAGCCACAAAGCAACAGCAAAACCTTTGATTTGTGAGTAAAAAGAAAAAAACTACCAAACAAGTTCTGGAGCTCAATGGAGACGGCTGGTACGACTCTGATAGTTGGGGACTTTCTAGAAGTTCAGCGTTCAACCACTTCCTGTAATCAGTCCCAGTGAAGCGGCTCCGGATTTTGATCTAAAGATTTGGGCTGTTTTGCCTTGTAGCTTGTAGTGGATGGTTGTTTACAAGATCATTTTTGTCCTGTTTTTACTTATATATTTGAATTGTCACAGGGTACACCATCAGGGAACAACAGTAAGAGACGGTGGATTATTGTGTAGTCTGACATGTTGGACTTTTTTTCGTTTTTTTACAGTTGGTCAAGCATACGTGTGTATGAGTGTACATACTTGGATTTCCTTGCACCATCCTGTTTTTTTAAACCACCTGATGCTTCAACAATCCTTCAGTGTGTTGCCTTTATTGCGTTTTTTTTGTTGCATCTGTGTGCTGATCTTAGTTGAACGCCTTTATATCATAAAGGTTGGATCACTCATTTATATACCGATGTCAAACTATATAAGAACAAGCTGGTATAATGATTAAATGATGCCACCACAAAGGGGTTTATTCAAAGGGAACAACCACAGAATTTGTGTTTTAGGATCTTAATCTTCACAAACTACTTGACATGACAGTAAAACTTGAATTACTCGTTGGACTAAAACAGGCATTTGTGGTCTTTTGTTATTATTTCTAAAATAGATAGAGGGTGCAGTTTTCTTTCTTACGAATTACAACCGCGTGAACTGAACCGGAACACGGGGGGCTTCATGTTTCATCACGTTACGTTTTTTCCTCCTAAATCGCGATAATGACGAACGTTAACAGACGACAAAGTTCCACATGCAGTGGACGTTAACTTAACCCAGCAAGTCTGAACGGTAACGGAACATAACGTAACTTAAACTTTAACGGAGGGAAAGACGCTGTACACATCTTAACGCTGATTGGCCAAGACTCGACACGTCAAAGATGTTTTATTGCGAAGATCACCACATCACCTTTTCTCCTCGTCTGACGCCAATCTGAGAATGTTTTTGACAAGTTCATTCAATTATCATTATTATTAGAGGAAATTATGGGGGCATTTTTTGCCCCTCTCCTAGTGATATCAGGGGCAAAATTATATTTCTTAGGGGCAGTTTTGCCCTTTGCCCTCGTGTATTTCCGACGCTGGATACAAGCAACTGAACTGAGTTTATGTTCAGGCTGACGAAGAACGATGGACATTTATTAAAGGGACATGACCCAAATTATTAGCCTGTGAGCATAGATTTTTATATTTCTTGCTTAAAGTTGGAACTCAAATGGTCGGCTCTAATTCCGTCCTGATTCACTTGCATTGATATTTGTTTCCAATTGACATAAGTGATTATATGCAGAGATGGACTCGTGATGTTTTGGTTTAAAGCCTCACATCAGATATTTCTGTGTGTGTCAGAGGGCAGATAAACTCCTCGATTGTCATGTAGGAGCCTCTTGTCTCTGTCTTATCTTCTTCTGTCTGACTACCCGAACATGTTCGTCCTCATTGTTGCCGTCGTAAACAAGCTTGTTTTCAGCAGTAGCTCTGGAGACTCTCAGACCTCTTGAGTCTGTCTCTCTCTACCTGGTTGCACTCGTCTCTGGCAGGAATCCAGCGCTGGCAGCGTTTTTCAGCCTGATACAGCAGTCAGCGCCGGGCTGACTTGAAATCTTGAAATGCCTGCTCCTCTTGTGTGCCAAAACAGTTTTACAAGATCACGTAGCCCGTTGCACCTCACTGTGGCATGCCAACTGTATGTGTACCCTGTGTATGCATGTTTACCTCATTAACTACAATTACCTTCTCTTTACGTCGCCCCTGAACATTTTCCAAAACACACATTTCTCCTTAAGATTGATTCCTTTCTTCCAGGCAACCATTACTTTCACTTTGTTTGTTTCAACACCTTCCAGAGGCTTGAAACTTGCTGCAGAGTGATGATCCATCATAGTCAACACTGTGCCGATTTTATCGGTTTAAAATATGCAAACTCTCAGTCCGGTGTTATCCTTCTCAAATCATCCGTGCTGCATTGTTGTAGTGGCTTTAGTTTTCTAACCTGAAGAATGCTCCTAGTCGTCTAGGACGTCGGATTTTCTCACCAGCTCATGAAAAGCACCGTGCAGATCGACATTCAGATAAATCGAAAGGATTTTGTTGTTTTGGCAACAACAACAAAAATCCAGCATAACATTTATTGTGATGGATCAGCTATCAGCAACAAGCTGCGAGTCTCTGCAGGTTGATTTTCACAGCATTGTGAAAGAGAATATGGTTTGGAAAATGTCCAACAGTTAACTGTGAAGGAGTTGTAGTAAACAGGATTTTAAAAAGAGCTGAAATGCTGATGTTACAACTTAAAGAATTGGGATGTTTTTACAACTTTGTGCTGTGTCTTCATTGGGAAGGACAGATATTATTAGTAGATTTTTATTTTATATTAGTTACTCACAGGATTTCAAAAAAACAAAACACTTATGTGGAGTTTTAGTAAAGTAAAAGGATGCAGACTTTGTTCAGCCACCTGTTCTCATCATCCAGTTGGGTCAAACAGATAATCAGGATCAGACGGCTCCACGGACAGAACTGGCATCACAAAAAAAAATGTTATCACTGAATGTTACAATTAACATAGAGTTGTAATCTCTGAAGGTCCCAGTTCAGCATTCAGTTGTCCCTCAGGTCCTCATTAGCGTGTAGAAACTGCTGCCTGCTTATCTGTGATCTGCAATCATTCCTGGCTCTCAGTGAAGCCCGACAGCGAGAGAAAAAAGACCCTCATAACTGCTGAGTGGTTGGTGTTTTTTTGCAGTGTTGCAACACATCGACCGCCCAGAGCAACCAAATGTGGAGCTGAGTCTGTCTAACAGTGTTTAGCCTGTAGTTTGAGCTTCAGTGTTTGGCCCTAAATCGACCCTACAGGTCCCATTTAAACTTCTCCAGAAGTCCAGTCGTGTTCAGTGTCCTCGGGTCCTTTCCTTTCGTTTCCTCCTTCAGTACATGCTAAACAGATGGTGTTGGTTTGCAAGATTTAAAAAGATAATCGCAACAATGAAGAAAGAGTCAGTAAATCCTAGTCCTAATTGACAAATATTTTACAGTAAACCCTACATACGGTGGAAAACATCTCCTCAGGATGTTTCTAATCACTCACACATTTCTGTCCTGATGAGCTGGGAGGAAATGTTGTAATACGCGTGGTTTCTTCCCGCTCTCCTGTCTTGGCTCTGTCCAGATGGAGTCCTTTGTTATGAACTCCTCTTCTTCTTGACTTTGTAATGCGTAGAGGATTAAAATGTGTTGAAGATTGTGAATTATTCAATGTGTTTGCAATCAACAACCTCTTGTAAAACCCAAAGAAAAATAACTTTTTGTTTAATCCAACATTACTTATCTTAACTCTTACCTCTGTTGGGCATTACAAATGTAATCGGCACGTGACTTTGGCATTTTTCAAACAGAAACACAGTTTTTGATGCACTTGATTCCACTATAAATGAAGTCTGTAATGAGTCTGTTCAGGCTGGCAGAGACACTCTGGTATCCCCCAAGTAAACATCAGATTTAATTTAGCAGATATGCACATGATTCACCCTTTAACATCTTTGTGTCACTGAGTAATGTTGTCCACATTGATGAGCACTGAAATCATATTTATTTAAAAATAAATATTCCACATTCCTGCATTTCAGCACAAGCTAACAATCACTTTTTTAATATGGAGTATGCTTTACTCCCTAGCTTGTCAGCAGCATCTTTCTTCCAGCTACTTTGTTTCTTCCTTGGAATTCGTGTGAGATACTTGCTGGTCTAGATACTTAACAGGGAAAACAAAACATGTATTTTTTTTTATCTACCCCTTTCTCAGATCACATTTCTTTTCTTTTACTTGTTACTGATACATTTTAATACAGTTTATCATTTTATTAGGTAGATATTGTCTCGTTTCCATTATTGTGTTTTAGTGATTTATTGTGGAGCTCTATCTTGCACAAAAAATGCACGTAACAAATAATTTGTCTTGATTTGATTCTCCTGAACCAGACCTATAATAGGGTAAAAGAAACTGTACATCTTTGTATAATGTGATGTCCCTTTCCATCACTTTGCTCCGACAGTTAGTCTGTCTTCCAGGTGTGTTTTCACTAAAAACCTTCCTGTGTCTTTCTCTCCGCAGGCGCTCAGTGTTTGGACCTCGGTAAGCGCATCATGTGTCGCTGTCGCGCTGGCTTCACCGGCTCTCGCTGCGAGACCAACATCGACGACTGCGCCGGCAACCCCTGCCGCAACGCGGGCACTTGCGTTGACGGCGTCAACGACTTCACCTGCACGTGCACACTCGGCTTCACCAGCAAGGACTGCTCCATGCGCACCAGCCCCTGCGACCAGTTCCCCTGCGACAACGGCGGCGCGTGTTACACCCACTTTACCGGCCCCGTGTGCCAGTGTCCACCGGGCTTCATGGGCGCACGCTGTGAGTACTCCGTCGGCAGGCCGACCACAAGACCGCCGTGGAACGGTGACACCCCTTCTGCTCTGATTGCCGCCATTGCCCTCGGCCTGGTGACGCTGACCCTGCTGGTTTTGGCCGCCATCCACATTCTGCGTCAGCTCCGCTGGGGCAGGGAGCTAACGGGCATTACCACGTCGGTGAAGAACGACCTGGAGACGGTGAACAACCGCAACGCGGTGATCGGTGGGGGGGGGCCCTACAACGGGAGCTTGCCAGGAGCGCCACTGTGTAGCCTGAGAGAGAAGGAGGCCTTCCTCATCCCGGGGGGGCAACTTAAAGTGTCCAATAAGGATGCAGCACTGGTGGAGAACGGTGGCGACAACATGACCATCTTTAAAAACAAAATGGCCGACTGTAACCTGGCGAATGACGAGCAGCGCCTGGCCAGGAACAAGTTTGACCTGTAAGAACCTGATGATAGTTTTAATGGCTCTCATTGTGTCTGTTCATGTTGTCGTCCTTTTTAATATTTCCTTCTCTGAAATCTCGTCTGTTCTGTGAAGTCAAGTCGCAGCATGTTTGCCTGTCATCTGATGACTCCAGTATTCGTACTCCACAAAGTATTTCTGTTTACATCTTTGGTTGTTGCCGCTGTACCAACCCGCTCTCTCTCTCTTACTCTCTAACAGTAAGAAGTGTGACTCGTCCATGAAGGACAGCCTGTATCAGCCAGTGTTCATCATCCCGGAGCAGATGGAGCAGTGTGTGTTTGCCACTGAGGTGAGGACACATTTACCAACACAAATATGCAGAGTGCATGTTTGTGTTTCATATTTGGTCCTTAAGAGGCTCATCACACCTCTGGTTTGGCACACTTCGAATGTTTGTTAGAAAGTATGACACTAATGCTGCGTTGACGCCAAACGCGTTGCGAATTATTCACGCGAGTAGATTACATACAAAGTCTATGCACAGACGCAATGAGACTGGGGCGGCGCGAATTTGCGATTGACGCGAATTTGCGGCGCGATTGATTCGCGTCAATCGCCAAATCGCTCCAAACGTGCGAGTTGAAATTTTTCAACTTCTGCGAAATATTCGCGTGACGCTGTGGCGCGATAGCCTATCAGCGTTGAGTTGCTCCCCCTGTTATCAGTGACGTCCTGCCGTTGTTGAATCAGGAAATAAATACTGTAGCCCTCTGTGTTCACCCAGAGCTCTACGATCAAATCGGCATCATTACGTAGTTGTTTTGGAGTCCCTTTCTGTCGGTTTATTGCCATTAAATCACAGCCAAATCAGTTTATTTTGTGTTCATACAGCTGTAGTAAACAGCGACGTGTGGCTTGCTAGACACAGTGAATGCAGCTCGATAAAATCCACAGAGCTCCTCTGGACAATATTATGAACCCAGACATGACGGCGTTTAGTTTCCCGGGATATCTGTGACTTCCACAACACGTACTAAGCAGAAATATAGGTTATTTTTTTCATGGTTAATGGCGGACAGTTGAACGGCTTTCAGGGCGATAAGCCGCACCGCCTCTCCGGCGCGTCCAGTGCGATTCGCGCGATTCACATATGAACACAAATGGTCCCCACCGTTTTGACCGGCGGCGCGAATGGCACGAAGAGCACACTAGGTCTCTTATCAAAAGTTTGATTTTAAATTGAATATTTAAATCTATACAAATGTAGACGATGGTTAAATCAGACAATACCAGAAATAGTTGTTATTGTGCACTGCATACAGCCGTACTGTAATAAATCAGTATGGTGTTTGTTGCGTAGCTGACACTGTTAGCCAAGTTTACAGTGGTCTGATAATATTGCTAATATTGTCAGACTGAGAGTTTTATGACTTTAGATACTGAAACATGTTGCTGACTTAACCTCTAGATATTTACACATCTAGTTGGAATAACACGTCAGACTTCATTTCAAGTAATTGATGCAAATAAAAAACAATAATGCAAATCAAAAATAATCAGTATTTAAGATGAAATAAACAATATTGTTTAAAAAGGGATCTGTTTGTTAAAAAAGGCTACAAAACAACATGACATGACTTGTAGAAAATAAGTAAGAATGTTGTGATAAACTTTCAAAATCGCTTCATTTGTTTCTGTGATCAAGTGTGGCGAGGAGTGACAGTTTATCTGCTCCATATTGGGGAAAAGCTCATATTTAAAGCTCATATTTTCAACAGTTTGTCAGAAGTCCGTCTTATTCCAGATGCATCATCCTGTTTTATAAATGGTTTGTTTTGTGCCATCGATGCTGACTAACTGTTGTAAATCTGTCTCATCCTCAGGTATAACCTCCAGTTTTCAGACTGCCGGGGGACTTTTACGCTGAAGGCTTGAAAGGTTTTCACCGAGAGGATCTATTCGACACACTTTATTTTATTTAATATTTATTTCTGCTGCTCAACAGAAAGAAACTAAAAGAAAGGATTTATTTTTTTCATTATTTTCTGCTTAAATATTGACAATGTACGGATGACAATTAATCTGTTAAGAAAGAAAGAACAACAAAGGAGAGAAAAGAGGAAGAGCGAATATCTGGCATCATTTGCACTATTTATCTTTTTTTATACTTTAAATCTTAATATAATATTTCAATATTTCTGTCCGTATATCTGACTCTTCTTTAGATCAAATGTGGTTGAGAGGACTAAAAGAATTGGAAGTGTCAGTGCCTTAGCTCTGCGTTTCCCGTATAACCTCACAGTATGATGTGTCAATCAAAAGTACCTGCTGACGGCAACGGGAGACGGATTGTTTATTTTGCGTCAAACAACCTGAACATTTTCCTTTTGAAAGCTGAACTGGACAATTTTTCGCTCCGTCCTTTATATTAAATTTTTTGTTGAAGAATCACATGGTGGCCTGTAAAAAAGAAACAAACTCTGAAGTGCCTCTTCTTTATGGGAAACTGCAACAGGACCCAGGATGCAGTGGGGTTTTTATTTGTATCTTTTGTTCAAACTGTGTCTTTATGAGCCCAGAAAACCTCATTCAAATCCACTGGAGTCCTTTCAACTGGTGATGTATTTCTGAACCCATCATATGTACTATTCATATCCATGATTCTAATCCCAGTCTAAATTATGTTTCGGCTCAATCAAGGAGACTTTGTACCTTTATCAACAACCAGATGTTTCCTGCATGTTTCATGATAATCATGAAAGTGATAATCTACCTTTAAGATGAGATAGAAAGGAAAAGTTGAACACGTCTCAGGCTGGATGAAGGTCCAGCCAAGCTGGATTCGTCTTACAAATCAAAACAATTTTGCCGTTGTCTTCCTGTGATAAGACATTTTCAAAGTTTATTTTTCTATGAATCAAAAAGAAAAAGAAAATTGCTGCCTTTTCTCCCTCATGCTGCCTTCATTAACCACTGCTGTCACTACAAGTAAACAGGAAGACAGTAAAGACACCAGCTGTTGTTCTGCAACATTCCAACGGCTCAACCTGTCAGTCACAGATCAGGGTTTTTATATTTATAGTTGCAAAAAAAGAGGTAAACAGTAAAGGGCTCCAAAGAGAGTTGTTTTTTAATTTGCTGTTTTTTTACTTCTTATGATACCAAAAATATGTGTAGTCGTGTCTTTGTACTATCTTCGTTAATTTAAGAAAACAATGCAATGTGTACATATCCTCCAGAAGATAGTTTTTCTATTTAATTTTGCCTTTTGTAAATAATTTTGTATTTATGAAAGAGAATTGTATATATATGTCTATGTTAATGTGCCTGTTGTCTCAGTCAGAATGAAGAAATATATTTTTTCATAAATAAATTTGAAAAATAACATTGTGTTCACATTATTTCTTGTGTTTAGTGTCTTTCAGCTCTCATAGCACCAATGATCTTTTAACACCACATATGTGGTATAATAAGGTAATGAATGGGAGGATGAGCACCACAAGGCTTTCATTTGTATATCGGGGCACAACATTACTTCATTTTACCTGGAAAGAAATGTGGGAACTGCTCAGTAAATACAATACAAGATGTGCTATCACAAGAACTGCTGCATGTCTTTGGACTGTGGGAGGAAGCAGGAGAAACCGTACAGAACCCACGCTGATTATGAGGCGACAGCGCTAGCCACTACACCACCATGCAAACCTTTCTAATAATCTCTGTAAATTACTCAATCACATGCATGTTAAACCAGTGTTTTATACCTGGGCCTTCAGTGCTGTCCTACTACAGTTGAACCACCTCCTAATAACCTCATTATGACGCCACAGCTACGGTTATTTGTTTTGTGTAAAAAACGCATATTCGCATAACACTGCAACATTTTACATGAAGCTCAACACCTACAAATACACTAACTGTGGATTTCAGATACATGAATACGCGCAAAACTATGAAAGATGCAGGTCTATCACTATTACGCAGCATAACGGGATGCTTCGTCAATAACGGGATAGCGTATAGTCAAAATCAATGTAATTAACACAATGACAAGAACAAATTCACAAGAACCCGTCACATATATTTATATGACCACAAAGCAGGTAGAATAACATAGAACCCAAATAACACGATTCAACAGGCCTCTGCACAATCCAGCAACACTGCGGCGCTAAAACACGCATTCCACCCACTTCCACTCAAGGGCACCATTCAAATATTCTTCACATCAGAGGGAACAATATTAATCATATCAAAAAAACGACACCATGGAAAAATGAACACAGTAGTAACGCTACTGCAGATGTAAAAACACAAAAGCACTTTACTTACCAAAGCTGCTGTTCACTTAAAGACAAAGTGCATCCTCCTTTCTTTGTTAATAAAGAGTTTAATGACACGGTTGTACAGAACATCGGTGCGGTTCAGTTCCAGTAAGAAGTCCTTCTCGATTCATGGATGCCAGTGAAGACAGTCGAGCCTCCTCAGTTGTATTTCTTGAATATATTTTAATTCGCTTGAGGGCTGAAAATGTCCGCTCCATAGAGGCAGCAGATATTGGGATTGTCACCGCCCAACATGGCAAAACACAAAAAATGTAATGCCACGTGTTACATACCTTTAAACTTGAACTCTTACCACTACAAAGTTCTGCTAGCTAACTTCACAACAGTCACGCTAGCCCACTGACCAAACAAGCCACACGTTAATGATGTCATACTTGTAGGCCAGCTAGAAGGGTCTGGCACGTCAAAGAATACGCCCAACATGTCAAACTAAAGATCTGATTGGTTGAACACTATGACAATCAACAATATCGTCATTCACTTAAACTGCAAAGGGATTCACTTGTAAATCTGATTGGATAAAAGCTCTACTTAAAACAAGCTGTGCTGGAAGCAGAGCAACTGAGGAAGACAGTAGCTGTGCAATGAGAAAATAAGCTAATGGAAAAATATTTAGAATACATGTAGTGTATTTATGAAAAATTATTAAATTATAAAATAGCTCTAACTTTGGGATTCTGTCAGTGTCTAGGCCAGCAGAGAAGGCTTTGCTGGCCCTGACGCCCCACCACTGGTTAAAACACAGTACAGGTTGTATTGGTAAGAAGAAAAGGTGGATTCTACTAGCAACGTGATTGATGAGTGCATGTGTCAAAAGAATAGCGTTGGATTTGATTAGTGAAATGTGTCTAAATGAGCTAGAGGAAATGATCTCCGGTAGAAGGAGCCCCAAATCCTAAAAGAGTATTGGAGTAGGGATGACTTGAATAAAATTCTAAAATGTGTATCTGTGATAAATATTCCAAACTGAGGGTCCAGTTACTCTCTACTCCCTGAGCTCTGAGACAGCATCCCACAGTCTACTTTAGTCTTAGAATGTGTCAAGTCAGGAGTGAATCTCCCTGCTTAAGAACTATTTACCAGGCTTTTGGGTTTCTAGACTAAATACTTTGGATGTGACTTCTGTGTTGTTACGGTCTGGAATAAGAACTTTGTTTGTGTTTCTGTAAAACTGCACTGACATTTTGATATTACAATATTTGGTTTGCATTGTTCTATATTTTTCTTGTCAAATCTCATGTACAGATCCAAACCATGGATGTAAAACGAGAACTGGATATTGGACCTTAAGATGGCACCTTCAGTCCAATGAGAATTTCTAACCTGGAACGTATGCCAAAAAAGGTTTTCTATCTTCCGGGTTTACTTCCAGGATTTGCAGTCCACTGAATATCCGTATAAGTATATGAGTTCCTGCTCTGCCCACAAACTTAAACTTGTGATGATGTCATAGTTGGAGGTGCCTTTTCAACAGTTTTACTGAAGTCTCTTTTACAGTAGTGGCCTATGGGCTGCCGGCAGATTTTTGGTTGCAATACCGCCACTGGCCACTGGACAAATTTGGGAGGACGGCTGAGCGGTGGCGCAGTATCTAGGTCTTATCCAGGTGCTGATGGTAATAAAGGACCATGTCACCAACTGCAGCTCATTGATGTGAATGTAATGGAGCTCTATGGCACAGAGGAGGAAGATATATCAGGCTTCTTTATCTTTACTCCTCTGTTGTTGGCTCAGATCTTATGGGTGTTCAGGTCAAATGAAATGCTTTCTCCCTCTGTTCCACAGACTGTATACTGTATAAGAAGCGGATGAAGTCACCGTGAGGTCACCCATTGGTTTGTGGACTGCGATTTTGAAGTCTCAAGTTCAGCAATCGCCATTTTTGGCCGTCGACATCCTGTTTTGTTTTTTGCAATTAGAATTAAAACAAGAGGGTGGAGCTAAGTACAACCAAACACTCAACAAATCATTTTTAGGCAACCAAAATGTTACAATAACTTTAATGAATTGTAAACACATTGCAAAAGGGTTAAAGCTGTAAGACAAAAACACGGACAACTCCCAATACCGTGGCTCTGCTAGTCCATATCGATGTGTCCTTGGGCAAGACACTTAATCCCAAATTTCTCCCGTAGACTGTGCCTGCAGTGTATGAATAGGTATGAATCATTAGTTATAGTTCTGATGGACAGGTGGCACCTTGCATGATAGCCCTGTCATCAGTGTATGAATGGGTGTGAATGGGAGAATAATGACATGTAGTGTTAAAGCGCTTTGAGTGGTTGGAAGACTAGACCCTGTACTCTCTACACTGGCTCACTGTAAGAGCTCGCATCCAGTTTAAGACTCTGGTGCTAGCCTACAGGGCAGTGAAAGGAACAGCTCCTTCCTATCTCCAGGCCATGGCCAAGCCTTACACCCCCGCCTGCCCACTTCGCTCTGCTACCTCGGGACGACTGGTTGCCCCGTCGCTCAGAGGTCCCTACGGCCGATCGACCCGGTCGCGGCTGTTTTCTGTCCTGGCCCCACAGTGGTGGAATGAACTCCCCCACTGACGTCAGGACAGCAGAGTCGCTGCCCATCTTTCGGCGCAGGCTGAAAACTCACCTCTTCAAGAAGGCCTACCCTGAGCCTTCCACTCAGCACTTATTGTATTTGTATTAGTTTGTTTCTGCACTGTACTTTTGCTCTGGTTTATGCTCTTAGATGCTTGTTTAAAAAAGAAGGTGTACTTATGACTTCTGGTGACTAGTAGTTCTCTTGAATACCTATGTTGAATACACTTATTATAAGTTGCTTTGGATAAAAGCGTCTGCTAAATGACTGTAATGTAATGTAATGTAATGTAGACAACCGCTATAAAGGTATTTATAGCGGTTTACGGCATTTACCATTTAACATTTAAAGCATACCCTGCTTTATAATCTATTTTATTGTAAATGAGACCATAATTTACGAAATGAACATCACGCTGTATTGAACAAGACTTGAAACTAGAGATTGAGACCATAAACTCATGTTTACAATGTTTACTGAGGTAATAAATAAGATAAGATAAGATGAGATGATCCTTTATTAGTCCCGCAGTGGGGAAATTCACAGGATCACAGCAGCAAAGTGGACAGTGCACACAAGATACAGAGTAAAAAAACAAGAGCAACAAGTAATATAAATAAGTAAATAAGTAATAAACAGTAAGAATATCAACTAAGTAAAAAAGTACAAAATCCACAGTAACTAAGTATAACTAAAGAACTAAATACTAAAATATTATATATACAGACAGGGTATTTTTTATTATTATTACACAGATTTTTTGTGTTTTTTGGTGTTGTGTGGTCTACTGGGAGCACAGCTGGTTGTGCAGCCTGACAGCAGCAGGAAGGAAGGACCTGCGGTACCTCTCCTTCACACACCGGGGTTGAATCAGCCGGTGGCTGAAGGAGCTGCACAGTGATCCAGTCCACTTTATTGTTCAAGTGAACAACCAGGTACTTTACCCCGGCGGAAGTCCACCACCAGCTCTTTGGTTTTACCAGAGTTGATCTGGAGGCGGTTCCGCTGGCACCGTCCTATAAAGTCCAGGTTCAGTTCTCTGTATTCCCTGTCATCACTGGCAGAAATGAGGCCGACGATTGCAGAGTCGTCAGAGAACTTTTGCAGGTGGCAGTTGGCAGAGTCAAATCAAGTGGAGTAGAAGTAGAGAAGTATAGTCATTTTCTCATAGACTTCTATACAATTGGACTTTTTTTTTAAACCAGAGGAGTCACCCCCTGATGATCATTAGAAGGAATGCAAGACACTTATGCATTGGCTTCTCTTTTCAGACCCGGAGGTTGCCACCTGCTCTGTTGTCACAAACTTTGTCTCTGTTTTTTTCTCGATTCAGAATTTCAGTGTTTTGTTAATTGATACAGAGTCTCCTGGTTAATGAGTAGCTGCTGCCACATGTCAGACCGTTAAACAAACAAACACACACACACACACGCACACGCACACACTGACAGCAGGAAAGTGGAGAGAACTTCAGACTCTGACTCACCTGCTGTTCACCTCTTTGGCTTTGTCTCTGAAACACACACACACACACCCACACGCACACACACACACCTGTCCTCAGGTTGAACTGTGAACTCCTCTGAGTTTCACCTGGTGGAAAAGGAAACCAACAAACTCCCAGCAAGCTGAGTAAAAGATCAAAGATCCCGCTCTGCTAACGGCCAGCCTGAAGCCCTGTTGCTGAGCGGGTTGAGCAATGCACCAATGTCGCCCGGGGTTGGCGTTTCAATTGCTGCAGTAGGGCTCATAAGTAGAAGACTTACAGCACATCCTTACTTACATACGTGTGTCACGTTTCAGACTCAATGTCCAACACTTGTGTAAAGTCTCTGATACGTTGAGGGTCATAGATTGTCGTGTAGGGCCTCTGACCAAGCTATCTGATG